ATAGTTTTTGCATTCTCAAAAGGTTGGGAAAAGATATTTTGTGACACAAGAAAATAATATTAAATTCCATTGTCAGTGACCATAACAGTAATCCATATCTGTTTATGTATCCACATCCAATTCCACTCAGCAATGAGCTACTGCTTTCATAGGTGTATGTCAAGAGTCCTTGTAAAATCTAAAACATTTTTCTGACTCTTTACAGAAAAAACTTCTTACTGTAGACCATAATGTTGACCACATATTTATTCTTGTTTACCCTACTAGTAATGTACTTAGGTAGGATGTGTTCAGCAAGAGTAACAGAAATTCTGATTCCAATTTGCTTTAAGAATAAGAACATTATTACACATTAAACAAGCTCCTAACATGGTGTGACCATTCTTCATGCCTTTTCTCTTGGCTCTGTGTTCTATATTGGTTTTCTATGCCCTTTAGTAGTGTCTCTGCTAAGTCAGATTCCTTTAAACTAGATTTTCTTAGTCCCTAAAATGAATAAAACTTCTCTAACAGTCTAAGTGGGATTATTTATGGAGACTGGTTCCTAAAGATTTTCTATACTTATCCTTTAGCAGATATAGTTTAAGAACATGTTAATCTGATTTCCAATCACGTGATAAGGTGGATGGACGTTATTGGAATCATATGCAATAGTCATGTCCCAGGCATCAATAACACCCACATTGAGATCTTTGAAAATGTCTTTCATAATAAGATACTGAACGTAGCCATGGAAGTCTCCAAACCTCTCTGTGTCTGCATGCATGTCCCTGGTGTTTTCTGTCTTAAGGATCACTTTAGTGGCTGGGCTTCTTAGGAATAGTAGTTCAATAGCCTTTCGGATACTGATGGCCCGGCGGATAAAAATGTCAATGGGGAAAGGTCTGAAGTGCTGGCCAAAGGTGATGACAATGATTGTGGTGTTGTCCCCTGGTATCCGGTCAATTTCTCTAGGGATATAACCTTCATCTATCACAGAGTACAGCTTAATAGTGATAAAAGGAAAGCTGTGTTTCTTCCACTGAATCTGAATATGGTTTTCTGGATCCAGAAGCAAATATTTCATAAACATTCCAGTTCCG